GTAACCGACCCTCAGCCCGAGTGAGGCCATGTCCTCCTCTGGGAAAGACGCAGCATGAACTAGGGCCCCTGCCTCTCAGGCTCCAGGCAGGCCATGCCCCGTGTGTCCTGGCATCCGGGGGGCTGCCACGGCTTGGCAGACAGAGGCTCCACCTGCAAGTGCTCCGTGGGGGGCGTCTGAAGACCTGTCCTTGTGCCCTCAGCCTGCAGCCCTGCATGCACACCTTCTGTGCCGCCTGCTACTCGGGCTGGATGGAGCGCTCCGCCTTCTGCCCCACCTGCCGCTGTCCGGTGGAGAGGATCTGTAAAAACCACATCCTGAACAACCTGGTGGAGGCGTACCTTCTCCAGCACCCAGGCAAGTGGGGAGCCCGCCCAGCTCCAGGAGACGGCGGGGTGTCTCTCCAGGGGCCCCTCGGCCAGCAGAGCCATGTCCTTTGAATTCCAGACAAGAGTCGCAGCGAGGAAGACGTGCGGAGCATGGCTGCCAGGAACAAGATCACTCAAGACATGCTGCAGCCCAAAGTCAGAAGGTCTTTCTCTGATGAGGAGGGCAGTTCGGAGGACCTGCTGGAGCTGTCAGACGCAGACAGCGAGTCCTCGGACATCAGGTGAGCTTGTGCCTGGCTCTGAGCGGAGCGGGGAGCTGGAGGCAGCATGGGGCCCGAGTCCCGGCTCTGTCCCGAGTGGCCCAGCTCGTGAGTGGTCTGCGTTCTGATGTGTGACGTCAGCCAGTGACGGCGCCCGCCTCGGGCATGGTGAGGACGGGGCGGGCGCCGGCTGAGGACGGCCGCTCAGTTTGCTGATGGTGGGGGGATTTGCCACCAGCCTTCTCCAGTACCCCTTCCCTTCTCAGGCATACACGCGATATTTATTCTCTTTTGTTGCTTATCTTCTTCCTCCCCACGTTAGTGAGATGTAACTGGTGTACGGCCCTGTGTGAGTTCAGGGTGTGCGGGGTAGTGGTTAGACTGACGTCTGTTAGAAAATGACTGCCATAACCCGTCCCTTGTTACCTGCCGACACCTCCTCAGGTGCCTCGATGCATTGGCTACGACGGGGTGCAGGATTTAATGTGTTCTTTGTCTACTGTGGGCACGCTTCCTCTAGCTCAGCTGGTGACCGGAGTCCCACGGTGTGAGTTGCAGTATCGTCATTTGTGAGGATATTATTGCAGGAAAGCCACGGTCACCTGGCCAAGAGGATGTGATTCTAGCAGACCTTGTTTTATTTGCTGTAGAATGCTGCTGTCTGCGGACTCAGAAGTCCACAGTGCGTGTTTTGGGTGGGTCATGACATTTGAAGAGACAAAAATCAAATCCCCTAATTAATTACTTTTTGTTTCTTTTTGTAAAATTTAGAAATAGTGGTGAAGCAGAAAGTAATAAAATCGCTGTAGTATGAACATTTTATTGTGTATCCTTCTGGCAACTCCTGTATGTAGTCACTCGTATTTCCTTTGTTAACAAAGTAAAAGGCGATATACTTTAAATATTCTCATAAAGACGGGATCCTGCTGTACATACGGTTCTATGCTGTTTCCCGAATTCTGACTGGAGAGGCAGTGCTGCGGGACAGACCCTACAGTCACAGCTCTGAGCGCACATCCAGTTAGCTCGCGAGGCTGCTTCAGCTCAGAGAGCCTCACCGGGAAGGCGCCTTGCTGGGCCTGGCACCTGTGTCATCGTATGCCTGTCAGAGGGGTCCTGGTGGTGGCCCCTGAGGTTTGTGGAGGGATGTCGGGAAACCCTGTTGACAGTTGGTGTGGCCTGAGACGAAGGTCATATGGTTCCGAAATGAGGTCAAGCGGCTTCTCACTAGTTGTTTTCCGGTCACATCTTCCCCGTTCTTCCCTTGTTGGCTCCTGCCGTTGGAGACAGGCTCAGGGCAGCGTTCTCTGAGAGGAGGGGAGGGTCTGTAGGTGTGTTTCCTGTGGGTTCATTTTTTGTTAACTATCTGCATTGTTTGGAAAGCGCAGCTGAAGTGCACACAGCTGGGTGGCCCGCCGGGAAGTCCCCGGACGACAGCAGCATTCAGCTGTGGCACATTTTGTTCAGACTTTAACACCGTTTCATAGGTGCCTAGGGTGATGGGCCTGAGTGTGCTCCTGGACGTAGTTCACAGCTCGCCCAGCATCATACCTGTGAGAGTGGGTCGTGCCCAACGTGGGGACTGAGTGGCCACACTCCGGTGGACACTGTGCTGGAAACCGGGGTGGGCACAATGTGTCTCCGAACCGTAGGAGCCGCGGAGGGGGGGCGGG